TGCACATTTTGCTGAAGTGATTCATCTTGCTGCAATTATTACATGCTTTCCCATACGCAGGACATCTATTCCATTCATGTACATAACCGCATTTCTTACACGGATTTGTTCTTCCACTCTTGAATTTTGTCGAATCCGAGGTCGTCGAGCTGGCGTTGCTGAGGTTGGTCAATGCCACCCCCTGTTGTCGTGGATTGAGATTTTTTTGTTTATCGTAGTTGGACTGCTTCTTTGTTGATTTTTTCTGAGAATTGTGCTCTTTTCGCATATAAGCTACTTCTGCGTTTTCTTCAAATTTTTTCACTTGGGCTTCCGCCAACTCAGCCGTTTTACATATTTTTATTGTTTTCGTCAAGTCTAGATCACTTTCACGCAGCAAACGACTCTTCAATACTTTATCGGAAATGCCTGCGATTATTTTATCTCGAATAAGTCTTTCTTGTAAAGTTCCAAAATTGCAATCTTTACTCAGTTTTCTTAACTCTGTCACGTATGCATCAAAACTCTCGTCACTATGCTGATTTCGTGTGAAAAACAGATGCGAGTAAACACTTTCATTTTTTGCCGGTACAAAATAATCATCAAATTTCTTAATCACTTCTGAATATTTTTTCTCCTCTTCTGTCAGGGAAAAAGTATTATAGATATCCAGGCACTGCTCACCCATGCAGTGTAGGAGTAGAGCCAATTGTACTTTGTCTTCCTGCTTGTCAGCACCTGATGCAGTTCTGTATATTTCAAAGCGTTGTTTCCATCTTGTATAGCTCTCCATTGTTAGGTCAGCCAACGACTCTGGTGGTTTTAACCCCGTCAGGCTTTGTGTGGGCGCCATTTTTATTTCTCTCTTCGTTTCAAGCAGAGCACTTATCCACGCACCCATTCACTTATTTTATTCACTATATTGTTCACCACAGCCGCAGCGCCATGTTATGTTTGTCCTTGTTATTAATAATTTAAGACTTGTATGTGAATAGGTACTTTATTGATAATTAGTTAATATGACGTAACATTATGTTGGCACGGAGGCCCGTGATCATCTGGCGTGTCGCGACAGTGACCGCGCGCCGTAGCCCCTAAACGCCCTCTGGGCCTTTAGGCTCAGTTCACACTACAACAGCCTCCTTTGTTACAACCTGGAGAACGACAACTCTAAACTGAAGATTCGAATGCAGCATAGATCGTTACCAAGACTAGGTGGATTGTTGAGGCAAGAAATGGGCACATAAAATAGTATATTTTGCACCTAGGGAGTTAAAAACTGGAAAGTCTCAGAGCACGTGTAATTTATCATCCGAGGCGAAGCCAAGGTTGATAATCATGAGCTCTGAGTATTTCTTATTTAGCTACATAGGTGCAAATACAATTTTTTGTGAATCCACCAGCCTAAAGTAATATTTTAGTTCTGCTCAGCAAAAGTAAAATGTTACTTTAAGTTGGGATAGCACAAAAACAAAATTTAAATATTTGGATCACCATACGCAAGTACACGTACTACCGAATATTGGTGATTTCTATCGGATAGCAGGAGCCATCATTAACAGGTTTTAATGAATAATTAAATATTAAGGTACAAAAACAATCGGGTGAAAAGTTATGAGTCCAAACGTCTTAAATAAGCGTGATTTTACGCCCGCATAATGTGGCGCGCGGCAACTCTCGGTGGCTTATAAGGCATACTCCTAGTATCTGAGCGAAGAGTCATTGTACGCAGGAGCAAAGCAACGTTTTTTGATACGTTTATGTTCATCAATTTTCACTCGATGGATTCTTAATCTTGAAATTTTAACACTTTGAATTAATTTTTCAACACAAAATAGTGATTTTCGTACGTGTACACGCAGGACATATGTCGCAGCAATAATTTTCTCACTCGTTCTCTTTCATCCTATCTTTTCTTATAAATAATAATATATACAGATAAATACAATATTTATAGTATGTGCGCCTGTATTTTTCTTCTTTTATATAAATACAGATTTCACCCTCTAATTCACATAGAAGTGGCAGATGTTGAAAATAAGCTAGAATGATGCTGAATAGATCTCTGCAGCCAAATGAAATTCTAAATAGAGTTTTTAATGAACATTTAGAGTTCAAAAACTCTCAGAGGTATATAGTTTTCATGAAATATAATTAATACCTTCTCATACCTATTGATCGACAACCGTCAACTTTACACAAATAAATTCCTTATTCACACGAAATATTTAGCAATGCCACTACACACATTATAAATCTATGCACATACCTTCGTTTAGGCACAATATATATATGGGTCATTCTCCTACTTTTTTAAAAAAGTGTGCGCGGCGGTATTTCAAAAAAATCTGAAAAAAAGATATGTTATTAAACAACATAAAAAAAGACTTTTCCTAAAGTTTCAGCCCGGAAAAAAATTTTTGGAGGTGCCAAGCGACAAATGAGTGTCGAAAAACGTGGTTTTTTTCGCTGTTTTTTGTCGATTTTCGAAAAATTCTACAAAGCGGAGTTTTGACTTTTCAGAGACGTAGTTGGGCTCATTTTTTTCGTCTGAAAAAGTACTTTTTGAAAAAAAATTGACCCCGAGGTTTTCGACGATAGCCACATCTCGAGCTTAATTCAAGTAAATAGCTAATTTTGTGGATTTCCAACAATATTCAAACGGCTCTACAGCAGTCAATTTTGAAGCAATTTAACTTTTGAAACCGGCAAATTAAAGNCGGCTCTGGCGTGGTTCGCTCATCAGAATCACTGCTCGGCTCTGACACGAAATTCTGTAGTGTCACAATGTCAAAAAATTAAAATTTTAACCAAATTTAGGAGCAAATAATGTCCATCAATATGGTATAAAATATGGCTCATCAGCTTCAGCTTCAACATTTTTTTTTTAATGGCAAAATATTGAAATTTCATGAGATTTACTCATATATGTTGTGCGTTATGCAATGTGTTAAGTGCATCACTCGGCATCACTGTATACGTAGTGCTGTACATGTCTTTATGCGCTATACAACGTGTGACGTACTGATGAGCTCTGCTTTATCTGCAAGAGCCTGTGTTCAATCGACACGTTGCTGCTATGCTAATCAAAAATTGACGTGGCTACTTGTATTGATATGGTGTTCTCCTATCTGCTTCGCTGATTCTCTCCAAGTTGGATCGAATGTTGCCACTGCCTGTAACCTTGTCTGTAATCAATCTTAAGGAGGTTCCGTCGCGTAGGCTAGCCAACTCGTGCAAGTAAACACCCTGCTTATCGACTGAGCTCCTGTGTATGTCCGCACGTGTAAGCGTCAACAAGAAAGCTAAAATTACGTCTTTATCGACTACGATAGATGCAATTTGTAATTACTTAAAAACTAAGTGTGATAAATAGAAATATAAAAAAATAATTAGCACGCCGCAGTTTATTCTTTCAATCATCTCGCGAATTCAAATTTCGCACGACTTTACCGACATGTAAACAAACATGACGGCCCACCTCGCGACGACGGAGTGCTTCGCCCGACGCCCGTTTTTTTTTTCATCGACAATTTTCTTTCGATTTTCACTAGCTTTCCATATTAATAGATATATCACTAGAAAGTAGAGACTTAGATCTACAAAACCGTATATGTCTTGCTTGGGAAAACTCGAGTATTTATGACTAATGAGATGCTAAACAAGATTTTGTTTTCTTCTTGTCATAAGAGCCATGTTATTCTGCTGCATAACAAGTCAACTTTGGATTGAAATATCTCCGGATTTTGTCTGGCTATCCATATTAATGGATAAGTAAGTAAGTTTAAGTTTAACCTTAAGTTTTTTTTTGGCATATGGAGCCCTGAAAGTGGGTGTTTATTTTTTGTGTAATGTATTTCAACCAAGGTGCACAAAATAATAAATAAGAAAAGAACTATAGTTATGGGTTACTTGCAGATATGATTTATTAAAATATCTTTTGTAAGGACGTCCGAGCAGTGTTGGCGTTGTCGTCCAGGGTGGTTTTTCACGTGGAGGCCTTTCTTTCACCACCGCGTACTCGTTAATGATTGAATTTAATTCGAAGAAAATAGTTTTTAAATTGCATAACTTCATTTCACTTGTCATTTTAATTATAATTTTGCTATGCATTTGCTTGACGATGGGTATAAAATCAAAGCATTGACCGTTATCATTTGACTTATGTGGGTATGTAAGCGAGTTTAATAATCGCGTGTTACGAACGTCGAACGCTAATTTATACGTGAGCTGTGCTGGCTGATCATAAAGCTGCAATGCCTATTTATTAACTTTTTTATTTGAGGAAGGAAAGTTCTCGCCTTTAAGGCTAAAAGCATGGGGATTGCATGCGACAGAATCGTGCATATGTTTTCCCTCGGAATTATTGCAACTATAAGAGTTCATGCATTTAGAAGTTTTATCCCAGTTGAAAAAAATTGCATGGATATCCACGTGGAAATCCACGAGGATTAGTAATCCTCGTGGACCATACAGGGATTCCATGTGGATCGTACAGGGATTCCACGTGGATCATACAGGGATTCCTCGTGGATCGATCATGGGCTGAAAAAAATGCAATCACCACGGATATTCTACTGATCCACGCTGATTTTTTTTCAATCCTCGTGGATGTGGAACTTGTTCGCGAGCACGCGCTTAAAACATCCACGAGGATTCGCGGCGAATCACCACGGATTTTCGACTAATCCACGCTGATTTTTTTTCAATCCTTGGTGAAGCGAGGATCGTGTGGGTGGATCAGGCGAATGAATCGTAGAGTACGAGTCGTATTGTAGTTTGAGAACACTTTATTAATTAAGAAAAGTAATACGTTATTGAAAATCAGTGGTTGCTCTGCCAGGCATCGAAGGCGTCGGTTGGAAGCGAAGTGGCGAGAAGAAGCTCTTGATCCGCGCGCCCCCTTGGCGGCGCTTGGTGGCAGAGGGAGGTCAAGTCGCGACGGCGCGCCGTTCAAAAGTGGAACGCGCGCGACCATACCGCCCGCCTCGTTCCGGGAACGAAGATAATGACGAGAAGGATCATCCACAGGGAGCAGCGGTCTTATCTTGAGCCTTGGTACGGCTTCTGGTCTGCGGTGGTGAGCTCCTTCCAGACGGGACGTCGTTGCCCGGCCGCCCGCCGTCAGGGCCGAGAGGCGGAGAGGATGAGCGAGCAGGAGCTTCCGGCGAAGGTGGCGGCATAGTTGGAAGCTGGGCGAGCTTTACAATCGGCCTCGTATAGGTGCCGTACGCCGTGCGTACAGTAGCGACTCGAACTCGACCATCAGCCCCAGGATGAACGTTCACCACCCTCCCAACTGGCCACTTGCCGTTGTCGCGCATGAGTGCTGGGTCGATGATGATGACGACGTCTCCTATGGAAAGATCAGGGCCAGGGCGATGCCATTTGGGTCGCTGCTGCAGTGTGTGTAGATATTCTTTGCTCCATCGGCTCCAGAAGTGATCTCTCAGGCGTCTCACCAACTCCCAGTGTCGGGCGGGATCAAGGTCGAGGTTCGCTTTGCTGGGCTGTGGAATGGAATTCAGCGAACGTCCGAGGAACAGATGGGCCGGCGTTATCATCTCCAAGTCATCGAGATCTCCCACCGGCGGAGTTAATGGTCGGGAATTGAGTACTCGTTCAATGTCGACGAGAAGAGTGGAAAGCTCCTCGTAAGTCAGGTGTCGAGGACCCACGACGCGACGAAGATGTATTTTGGTCGACCGCACGGCCGTCTCCCAGAGGCCGCCGAAGTGCGGGGCCTTTGGAGGAATAAACGACCAGGCAATCCCTCTTTCTGCCAGGCTACCTTTCACCAAACCCCAGTCGAGCTCGGCCGCGTGCAGCAGTCGCTTGAGTTCGGCATTAGCCCCTTTGAAGTTCGTACCGTTGTCACTCCAGATCTGAGCCGGTGGGCCTTTGCGTCCGATGAATCGAGTGAGCGCCGCTAGAAAGCTGTCTGTGCTGCAATCACCAACGAGCTCAATATGGACGGCCTTCGAGCTAAAACAAACGAAAATGGCGATATAGCCTTTTAATGTGCGGACGCCACTGCCTTTCGCTTGAAGGACGTTGAAACGTCCAGCATAATCTACGCCGGTGACGTAGAATGACGGATTGTGCTGAACTCGAGGGGCGGGAAGAGCTGCCATCTCCTGGTGTAATGGTCTGGCATCGGCTTTTGCGCATGTGACGCACTGCCGGACGAGCTGCCGCACGAGAGTTCTACCATTAATGATCCATGCTCGACGAAGGGTATGATGCAGCGTGACTCGAAAGCCGCCGTGAAGTCCACGCACGTGGGCCCAGTCGACTATCAATTTGGCGAGATGACTTTTCCCACTCAGGATGACTGGGTGCTTTTCTTCGTCCGGTAGTAAAGAGTGGGTGAGTCGGCCACCCACTCGTAGACATCCATCGTCACTGAGGAAGGGTCTCAAAGACGATAGGCTACTCTTGAGCTGTACGTGGCCGTCTCGACGAATTTGCTCGATTTCTTGACTCAAATGCGCTCTCTGACTCATTTGCACGCATGTGATGAATTCACGCTGTAACTCTGCTACGCTGAGTGGAGCAAGTGGTGCCGGTATGGATGGATCTCGGCGTCGATTGAGTAGCCGGCGGATTCTCGTCATAATTCGCAGCAGTTTAATCAAACTTGAGAACCTTCGGATGAGCAGTGGCTCTTCCGAAATGGTGGACGTCGTCGCGTGGCAGTGGATCGTCGCGGCTTGAGGCTCATGTGACTCGTCGGATCCTGGGCCGCGCGGAGCTTGCGGCCATTCAGTGTCGTGGTTTTGAAGCCATATCGGTCCCGAGCGCCACAATTGATCGCCGATCAAATCCGCAGCAGAGCAGCCGCGAGAGGCCACGTCGGCGGGATTGTCGCCCGTTGGTACGTGACGCCACGTGACTTTCTGCGAGAGTTCCTGTATATGCGTGACGTAGTCGTCCACGAGACTATTTCCTGTAGGTCCTTGAGACTTGAGCCAGTGCAGAACGATGCGGGAATCGCTCCAAGCGTGGCATCGTTCCGGAGGGACTCCGATTTCCTTCGCGACGTGCTGTAGAAGACGGGCCGCTAGTAAAGCTGCTCGAAGCTCGAGCCTGGGTATAGTCATTCTGGTCGGGGGCTTAGCCGAGAGTCGTAAGCTCCTTGCTGGGGCGAGCTTTGTTTTGGCCCAAATTAAAGTCGTCGACGCCCCAGTTGAATCGGCGTGCTCAACTCGGCAGTAGATCACGGCGGCGATTGCGCGACGGCTGGCGTCGGCGAATGCGTGTAGTTGAATGCAGTCTCCTGGGTTCGCTCCGATCCATCGTGGTATGGCGAATTTATTTAGCTCACGTTGACCTTCTCGGCACTCCTCCCACTTTTTGCAAAGTGCCTCCGGTACTTCATCGTCCCATCCAAGGCCGCTGCTCCAGAGGTCTTGTATGACCATCTTTGCTTTGACAGTAATCGGAGCCAGCCATCCGGCTGGATCGAATAGTCGGGCGAGTTCGGCGAGGGCGACGCGCTTTGTCAATGCGTTACCGATCTGCCGAGGTGCGCTATCGGTGTTGAATGTAAGCTGATCTGCTGCTGGATTCCAGGCGACGCCGAGCTCGTTGACTGGACCGTCGGTGGACAGTTGAAGAAATGTTGGCCTAAGTCGGTCTCCAGGAGGAAGATCCTCGAGTAGCGACGAGTCATTTGACACCCACTTCTTGAGCTTGAAGCCGCCCGCCCTGAGTAACGAGATGAGTTGATCTCTGCGCATGCGGGCCGCATGTACATCTTGGCCGCCACTCAGGAAGTCGTCTACGTACAGCTCGTGCTTGACGGCGCGCACTGCCTCCGGGAACTTTTCTCCTTCGTCCAAGCAGAGCTGCCTTAGGGTGCGAAGGGAGAGATAAGGTGCGCTGGCGGTCCCGTAGGTGACGGTAAGGAGTGCGTAGTGTCTTGCGGGCACGTCTGGCGAGGGGCTCCACAGGATACGCTGCAGGTGCTCGTGGGCCGGTTGAATTCTTATCTGGCGGAACATCATTTTAATGTCCGCGCAGAAGGCGATGCGATGAAGTCTCCAGCGTGTGACGACAACAGCGAGGTCATTTTGGAGCTTCGGCCCAGCATAGAGCGTGTCGTTCAAGCTGACTCCTGATGATGTAGGTTTCGAGGCATTGAACACCACTCTCAGTTTGTTGCCGCCGTCGCTTCTCTGCCAGATGCCGTGATGTGGTATGTAGCACACTGGGCCAGTGTGTGACTGCAGCTCTTGCGATGATATTTCTCGCATGTGGCCGAGGCCTACGTACTCGGTCATGAAGTGGTCGTAAGCTCTGGCGAGCGCTGGGTCGCGTTGCATACGGTGATGTGTGGAGTTCAAGGCGGCTTGCGCATGATGGAGGCTTTGGCCCAGCGTAGCTGCTTCTCCTTGCTTTATTGGCAGAGGGACAATGTAACGTCCATCGGCCTGGCGTTGACAGCCGTCGACAAAGAGACGCTCGCATTCACTGGCGAATGGGCACTCGCGGTGTGCTTGCGGTACGCTCTCAAGCTCCCAAAATCTCTGAACGAGCTCTGTGAGGTCTTGATACGGCGCTTTTGCTGACTCGAGCATTGTGGTGGTGCACTGGGCTGCTTGAGGCATGGACGTTGGAGCCGTATGTGTGATCCGACCTGTCAAGATCCACCCAAAGATGGTGCACTGGGCGATGATTCCACCGCGTCGAATAAGGCCTGGCAATAGGATCTTGTTGTAGACGTCTGCACCGAGGATGGCATCAACTGGCCTCGGCTTGTGCAGCTCCGGATCTGCAAGCTCGAGCTCTTGAAAGCGCTGGGTCGTAGCAGGTGGCAGCGGCTGCGAGGGAGTTCTAATTCCGATGCGTTGGAGCCCGTATACCTCGATTGGCAGTCGCCTCTCGCGTGCGGTATCGTGGAGGTAGAGACAGGCTCGAACTTTGGCCGAGTCCATTGGAACTCCAGAGGTACCAGAGATAGAGACTTGGACTCGCTTGAGATGGGCGCCGAGGCGCCGAGCTATGCTCGTGGTGATCAGTGTGGCCTCGGAGCAGGGGTCTAGGAGCGCTCTCACCTTCTCTTGACGCTGCTCACCATCACCGATGACGATCATGGCTGTCGGCAGCACGGCTAGTCAGGATGACTCGTCCTGGTGGGTTGATTCCCAGCCGTATTCGTCAGGCTCTGAAGGTGTCGCCGCTGTTGCTGCTGCTGTCAATCGAGCTCGCTTAAAACCGGCTCCCGTCTCCGGTCGACGCATGGGCTCCTCGTGAATGAGCGTGTGATGCCGTCCTTCGCACGATCGGCAAGAGAAGGGCGATGCACAGTCCTTCGCTCGATGTTGGCTGCGCAGACAGTTCAAACAGAGAGCTTCTTTCGCTATCAGTGTTCGCCTAGAACTCACGTTCATCCGCAGAAAAGTTTCACATTTTCCCAGGTAATGTCGTCCTTGACACGCCGGGCATTTTACTTCAGCGGTGGTGGCCATACTACGGACGTTTCGAGGGGGGTGTCGAGGCGCCTCTGTGGGTCTTCGGTAGTCCGTTGGGTTTGAGGCACGATCCATACCGGAGGCCTTGAGTGTCATGCTCCTCCGCAAGAGGAAGTCCTGGAGTTGCTGAAATGTTGGATGTGCCTTTGTACCCTCGGTGTCTCGTGAGTTCACATCTTCCTCCCAAGCTAGCCTTGTAGCGGAGTCCATCGCCCTGCTGCCGAGTACGACGAACCAGTCGTCCCACTGGTCGACTTGTCGGCCGAGAGATTGCAATGGCGCTCGGTGTCGATTGAGCTCGTCGAGTATGCGCTGTGTCTCCGTTGCTGACTCTGTCTTCATAGATTTTAAGGCGAGCAATGCTTCAATGTGATTGCGCACGAGGAGTCGATGATTGTCATATCTGGATAAAAAGGCCTTCCACGCTGATTCATAGTTTTGCGCTGTGACTTCGAAGCCCTGAATGGCTGCGGCATCATCTCCCTTGATGCTTGTTTTTAGGTAGTGCAGTCGCTCCACATCCGTTAGCCCAGGATCATTATGCACTAGGGATCGGAATAAGTCTCGGAACGACTCCCACTCTCGAGGAGTCCCGTCGAACTCTTTCAATTCAATCCGAGGGAGGCGCGCCGGTCCGCGTAGGGCGTAAGCAGAGGATCCTGAACGAGCATCATCTGCGCGCTCCGAGGGATGTTGGGCCTCGGCATCAATAAGTCTCGCCTGTGCGTCGAGGACTAATGTTTCGACTTCAGCATATACGTCCTCTTGAAAATATGCATCTTGCTGAATCTCTGGAATCTCGACGAGCTGCACGTGATTGTTCATGAAGTCGTTCCAGTAGCCATCGAGTAAAGTTCGTCGACTCGTAATGTGGCCTGTTGTCCACTCGGCGAGTGGGCGATCGATGATTGACCTTGCCAGCCGCGCCAATGTTCGACGGAGTTGCATCTGCATATTACCCGTGTTTTGACCTGCGTGTAAGACAGGGTATGTTAGTATACGCCGTGCCGAGAGTGGCTGTGCCCGCGTGGCAGTCGGCCCGAACGCTTGAGTTTGGCCGATTTTGCGTTGCAGTTTGAAACGTTTTGATTTGACGTGCCAGGAGCTGCGATCGCGCTCGCACGGCAGTTGTCTGCTTGCCTAGCGAGACATGCCAGTCTGCCTGCATTGAGGCGTGCTCGTGCACGTTCGCTTGTGCCTGGCGCACTTGCGGAGCATCTGTGCACATTTGAGTGCGAGTAGTGTATATGCCGTGTCAATGCGTAGAGCGCGCCTGGCGCAAGTGTGGCGGATGCGTTGCCTGTGAGCGAGACTCGTTCGTCTACATGCGCTCGTCGTAACCTTGCTCGGGCCGATGCGGGAAGCATTGGTGTATGCGTGTGCGTTCGCTCGCATGACGGCCATCTTGTTTTCTCGCAGAAGTGGTGGCGGGACCAGCTGCACTTTGCGAGAAAATTTTATGATGTTTGTATGCTTTGAGCAGGACTTCTTTTTCCCAGGGTGGTGGCGTGGCCAGCTGCACCTTCGTGTGGGATATTTGACTGTTCATAGCACGCGTTTGCACTTGTACGAACTAATTTGGTTCGCGTCTGTACGCTGACGCGTTGCAGGTTATAACCTCATACCTTCCATTGCTGCTGCCATCATCCGGCTCCAAAGGACCAATTTGGTGAAGCGAGGATCGTGTGGGTGGATCAGGCGAATGAATCGTAGAGTACGAGTCGTATTGTAGTTTGAGAACACTTTATTAATTAAGAAAAGTAATACGTTATTGAAAATCAGTGGTTGCTCTGCCAGGCGTCGAAGGCGTCGGTTGGAAGCGAAGTGGCGAGAAGAAGCTCTTGATCCGCGCGCCCCCCTTGGCGGCGCTTGGCGGCAGAGGGAGGTCAAGTCGCGACGGCGCGCCGTTCAAAAGTGGAACGCGCGCGACCATCCTATTTCTACTTCATAAATTGAATTCGATATTCTGTTTAAAATTTTGAAAACCCCAATTCTGAGTTCATCTAATTTCTTTCTATTTAACCGGTTTCCATTCTCCACATATACCTTATCTCCAATTTTAAATTCCCACTGTCTTCTATTTCGATCGAATAAATTTTTATTAAATTCATGGTAATCCAAACTATTTTTTAATGCTTTTTCTCTGTCTCTCTTCCAGTTCTCCATCGATGTTACTTTTTTTAATTCATCCGGTAATATCGAAGTGTCTTCTCCTCTTAATGAATATTGTAGACTGAACTTTGTTACAGTATATTCCGTTTTATTATATTTCTCAATGCATTCATGAGCAATTCTTGTTCATGAATCTTTATTTCCTTTACCATTTATTCTGCATCTGATTTTATTAACTATAGTTTGGTTTAATCTTTCATTGAGACCATTAGAGAATGGAGAGTTGAGTAACGCACGAAACTACACGTAACTGCAGATTACTTAACGTTACTGAACGTGCGACGGACAGCCTACCACGGGTGGATAATTCAGCTCGACTGCCGTGCACTTTATTTATGGGGGCCCGCTTTACCTGACTCGAGTCCCAGAGGGGATATTGGGCCTGTCACCAGCACGGGCGAGCCATGAGCCCGTTCACTCACCTTCCTTCGCTTAGGCTTCTGATACCTGAAATTCTCGAATAGGTCAAGCGAAATGAATTGACACGCGTTCCTTTACGATTAATTGATTTATCTTTATTTAAGGCCCACGAGGGCAAACGATAACAAACAATACGCGAGTTACAATCTTCGGCTTACGATACGGCCCCGTAGCCGCTTACGCACGCGTTGGGCACTTTCCGATCGCCCACGAGGGCCGAGACTTGCTCGCACGTTACTATCGGCCCAGTGTCGTCGCTACGACACTCGCGTGGCCTCACTTACACTAACACACTTGCTCACACACACACACACAGGCGGCCCGGCAGCCGCGCCGACCAACGGCTTAGAAATACCTTACAATTACCCCAAGTTCTTCGGCACCTCGCTGCTGCACTGATGACCTCTCGTCGATGCTCTGGGTGTAGTCTTCTTGGCCCAACTACTACTGCTGCCCGCGTCAACACGACAACTTCAGCAATGACTTCCGCAATTTCAGCTTCACGCACTGGCTCGCGTTTTCCTGCGTCTCTCTATCACTCGGCTTTCCGCGTGGCCTTCTCACTCGCCAGCGTATTCTAATCTGCCTGCCTCGTAGCGAAAGGAATTCGCCCGGTGTCTGCTCGGCTCTTTTCTGTCCTTCTCGCACGTGTTGATCCTGGGTCACGCTCCTGGCTTCACATCATCAGTCCGACGGGCCACTGCTTATCATCTACCTGAAAACGCGCGAGAGAAGGGAGACACACACGCACTCACTCATACATACGCTCGTGCGGCAGTCTCGGCGCGACGCATGTTCTGCGAGTGCTCGACTCGCTTACTCACGGCTTGTGCTCCGTCACAAACGTTACTGCTTGTTACTGCAAGTTGCTGCACGTTATTGAACGTCACATAACTTTAACGCACGGTAACGCACGGTAACGCACGGTAACGCGCAGTATCGTACGATAACGCCCGATACTACCCTCTACTGTGTATTACTAAACGTAACTGAACGTTACTGAACATTACTGCACGTTGCTACACGTTACTGAAAGTCACTAATCGGTGACGCACGGTAACGCACGATAACGCACGGTGAAGCACAGTAACGCAGAGTAACGCTCAGTAACGCTCAGTAACGCACGAAACTACACGTAATTGCAAGTTATTCAACGTTACTGAACATTACTGCTTGTTACTGCAAGTTGCTGCACGTTACTGAACGTCACTTGAAGTTGACGAACGGTAAGGCACGGTAACGCACGGTAACGTACAGTATCGTATAGTAACACACAGTAAATCAAAGTAACGCTGAGTGCCGCAAGAAACTACACGAAACTGCATGTTACTTAACGTTACTGAATGTTACTGCTTGTTACTGCAAGTTGCTGCACGTTATTAAACGTCACTGAACGTAGAAGCACGGTAACGCGAGGTATCGCCCAGTAACGCTAAGTAACGCACAGTAACGCACAGTAATGCTGAGTAACGCACGAAAATACACGTAACTTCAGGTTATAGAACGTTACTGAACGTCACTCAACGCTGACGCACGGTAACGCACGTTAACGCGCAGTGAAGCACAGTAACGCAAAGTAAAGCTAAGTAATGCATCATACTACACGTGACTGCTTGTGACTTAACGTTACTGAACGTTAAAGCACGTTACTGCTCGTTGCTGCTAGTTACTGAACCTCACTCAACGTTGACGCATGGTAACGCACGGTAACTCGGGGTAACGCACGGCAACGCACGACAACGCACAGTAAGGCAAAGTGTCGGTGAGTAAAACACGAAACTACACGTAACTGCAGTTTACATAACATTACTTAACGTCACTCAACGGTGACGCACGGTAACGCACAGTAACGCACAGTGACGCTCAGTAACGCACGATACTACTCGTGACTGCTTGTAACTTTACGTAACTGTACGTTACTGAAGGTGACAGAACGTTACTGCACGTTGCTGCACGTTACTGAATGTCACTTCACGTTGACGCACGGTAACGCCCGGTAACGCACGATGAAGCACCGTAACGCACAGTAACGTTATGTAACGCTCAGTAAAGCACGATACTACACGTGACTGCTTGTAACTTCACGTTACTGTACGTTACTGAACGTTACAGGACGTTACTGCACGTTGCTGCACGTTACTAAACATCACTTAATGTTGACGCACGGTAACGCACGGTGACGCAAGGTCACGCACGGTAACGCACGGTAACGCACGGTAACGCACAGTAACGCTATGTATCGCTCAAAAACGCACGATACTATACGTAACTGCTCGTGACTCAACGTTCCTGAACGTTACAGGACGTTACTGCACGTTGCTGTACGTTACTAAACATCACTTAATGTTGACCCACGGTAACGCACGGTAACGCACAGTAATGCTATGTTACACTCAGTAATGCACGATACTTCACATGACTGCTCGTGACTTAACGTTACTGAACGTTACAGCACGTTTCTGCACGTTGCTGCAAGTTGCTGCACGTTAATGAACATCACTTAACGTTGACGCACGGTAACGTACGGTAACGCACGGTAACGCAGAGTAACGCAATGTATTGCTCAGTAACGCACGATATTACACGTGACTGATCGTGACTTAACGTTACTGAACGTCACAGCACGTTACTGCACGATGCTGCACGTTACTGAACATCACTAAACGTTGACGCACGATAACGCACGGTAACGCACGCTAAAGCACGGTTACTCACCTTAACGCACAGTAACCCTATGTAACGCTCAGTAGCGCACGATACTACACGTGACTGCTTGTAACCTAACGTTATTGTACGTTACTGAACGTTACAGCACGTTACTGCAAGTTGCTGCACGTTACTGAACATCACTTAACGTTGACGCACGGTTACGCACGGCAAACCCACAGTAACGCTATGTAACGCTCAGTCACGCACGATACTACACGTGACTTTTTGTAACCTAACGTTACTTCGTTAGGTTATCTTGACGAATTGACAGCGATATTAGTGAGAATCTTGGCTCATAACCTCAAAATAGAGGCGCTTGACCTCCTATATCTTACTTACTACTTGATGAAATCAGATGGAACTCAGCTTGGAAGATTCATACTCTCTATTTCCCAACAATTTCTTGAAAATTGACGGAGTTATAAGTCGAAATGACCCTAAACAAGGTCAAAAAAGCGGCCTTCAAGCACCGCCGACATTTGCCAATTTCACCTCAATATAGTCATTATTCACGGAGATATGAGGGAAAATAACTTTTCATGTACATTATTTATAATATCCCGCTAGCTACTTGACCAAATCGGATGAAATTAAGCTTAAATGATTCGTGTTGATCCGCACTTTCGATATTTTGCACAAACAGCTCGATATCT